TGGCCATGCCGGGCAGTGTAGAGAGAAGGCACCTGACCAACAGCACCCATCGTCAATTCTTGGGAAACTCTAATCGAATAACGGGATTTGACTGTCACTTATCACGCACCCACGAGCACGAAGGGCGGAATGTAATTTTGAGGCAACAGTCTGCAAGTTAATATTAAGCCATGCTCCTATTTTTAATAAATATAATTCGATGACTCTCTAACTCACTAAAAAATTATATCTCAATTGAAACAAAATCACTCGGCTATGTTTTAGCGCAAGAAAATTGTCATGCAAAAGGGGGATAAAAGATATTATCGATTATAAGAACTATATAATTTGTGGTTCAAAAATAGTTACAAAAAACAAACAAACACATTTCAAATCATTCTTAATTGTCAGGCTTTACGAACGGCTACACTTTAAAGTCGAATGTTAAAGTGTATTATCCTGAATCCAATATCAACTTCTTGTCTGAGCAAGTAATACCCAACTTTCATGAAATCTTCAAAGCTATTCTGTCATTTATTAGACGAGACTTAATAAACAGTAAAATAAAATCATATGCACACAATCAGAACTCTGTTGGCGTCTGATAGGATTAAATATGATAACCACACAAAAATATTTCACTTATCATCTGATGACATTATCGAGTACATCGTTAACGGGAAACTCATTACAGTTTAAAGTCAATTAACAGGGTTGTTTCCCACAAACCAATAAATTGATTGTTTTTAATTATCGCGTGTTTTCATAACTATCACGGATTTACAAATGACTAACGAGTTTTAATTCTACAAATCAAATACTATACACATTGAATAGATTTAAGTGTGGGGAAAACTAACGTTTTAGCTACCATGTATACTATTTTATTCAAATATTGGTATACGTTGTTTATCGAAGGAAAAATAAATGTCATCAAGATTACGTGGGAACAACGACAGATGTTATATTTCATGTTGATCGACTGATTAGTTTTAAAAACAACTATATTTTTTTAATGTTTTATATATGTTTTAACTTTTGCTTCCATCATTTGATTTGATAGCAATTTTCGCTGCAAGTCTAAAACGTATTTTCTCAAATTATTTTATCATGTTAATCGACCGATTCGTTTGGAAAACAACTATATAATTTTTTTTAATGTTTTAACAAACCACTATTGTATATTTTCCATCATTTATTCTGATAACAATTGTCGATACAAGTCTAAAACACATCCTCCCAAACAATGTAATCGTTTTCATGTATTTAGCGAAAGGAAATTACAATCTTGACTGCAGCGTTACGTTGTAGTTTTGCACTAATATGTGGCGGCGTTTATAAGAACAATCATATAGGAATAAACGTAATCGTCTTCAAACCAAACGGGGCCCGGCATGGCCAGGTGGTTAGGGCGCTCGACTCGCAATCTGAGGGTCGCGGGTTCGAATCTTCGTCACACCAAACATGCTCGCCCCTTCAGCCGTGGGAGCGTTATAATGTGACGGTCAATCCCACTATTCGTTGGTAAAAGAGTAGCCCAAGAGTTGGCGATGGGTGGTGATGACTAGCTGCCTTCCTT